GGAGTAATCATAAACATTCTAGAAATTGTTTCAGACAAACTTGCCAGAAACTAAAAGTATGGGAAGCTATTCCATATTTTCTTCCTTAATGAATTTTTTGTAGCAACAACAACAAAAGTTGGAAGACGCAGAAAAGAGCATGAGTTGTAATGAAAGACTTAGGTGCCTCCAGAAAAAGTGGCCCTAGCACTCACAATTCAAAGACACTGTAAAGCTATTTCATCTCCTTACCCTTAATGAATTTACTCTGATTCAAAAAAAATGCAGACAAAACATGGGGGAACATGAGCCATTTATAAATGGATTACAAAAGTTTCTGGATCCTCTGTAAGATTCTTTGAATGCAGCAGGGTGATTGTATAATAAAAGCCTCATCTGGAAACATCTTGGAGTGGGAATTTTTGAAAAGGTGAAATACCAAGACAAAGAAAAGGCTGTTTCTCCAGGATCTCGTTTAAAAAAAAAACTAAACAATAGTACACATAACAAATTCTCAAACTATTTTGTGTACTCAGAGTTTAAACTGTATAAGGTGTTTTAAGAACATATTGAGTTCCTTAAGGGGTAACTTAGGAGAGCAGCAAAGCCTGGAGAACAATCTAGTGAAAACATAATATTTACGCCATAAAGCCAGCACAGAGGTCACAACCATATTGCCAGGGAGTCATCCAGCATATTGCTGGAACTTTTAGCTTGATTCAAACAAACCAGAACTTAATCTGTCTGGTGAGTTTTCCCAATTACTTTTTTATATATTAAAAAAAATACTAGAGTGCTCAAATGTTAGCATTTGGAAATTATATGTTTTTTTAAAAAAAAAAAGAAAGAAAGAAAAAAAGAAAATGAAAAAGCATTTGGGGCAATCTTCAGAATTAGGATTTCAACATAGGGAAATTCCAAAGCCTCTCTGCAATGGATGAGAACTGAATCACTCAGCACCTTACAGAACTGGAAAGTGATCTCTCAACTCTTCTGAAGATAACAAGATTCTTCAAGGCAGCCCTCTGGGTCTGGAGATTCTTTTAAGATCACCAAGCCTATTTAACTCAGCCTTATTGACTAATAAGCCAGGTAGAGCTGGAGCATTTTAAGAAGACTCTGTACTTTTCCGTTGCTCTACATACTTGAAGTGCAATCTGTAATTCTGATCCTGTTTATGCCACAGAAGGATCTTATCTTGATCTCTCTAATAGTTTTTCAAGTGGTAACATTTTATTTGGAGGAGGAGAGAAAAAAAGAGAGCAAATGATGTTTGAAATACATTAAACTGGTGTTACACAATGTGTTTACATTTGCTGTTTAGGATTAATAGTCGGAAAGATTTAATCCCTATTCCACTCTTCCAAATCTGTTAAACTCTTGTCAGGTGAGAACAATTTGATATTCCAAAAAAACATATGTATTTTTCTCTTTTTTTATGCAATCAAACTAGCAGCATTAATGCTCATATCATACTCCAGTTTCTAATCTCCCTATTGGCAGCAAAGTTATTTATATAAATATTTATGTCATGGGTTGTAAAGCAGCATATGAATATATGTAAACATGAGAGAAAGAGAGAGAGAGATTGAGAATTAAACTAATTTAATAGCCATTTCTGGGAGGTGTCAATATGGTGTGGGTGGGAGGAAAAGTTTCAGAGATTTTTAATACAACCCCCTCATCATACTATAGTTTCCATCATCATCATCCAGCCAAACCATCAAAATAATGTAGATTTGTAGTGTCCATAAGCCTCTGAGGAAGGCAAACACTTTATGAAAGCCTTAATCTGGAAATGTGAGGCTCAAATCAATTGTTAGTTCCAATTAAAATCAATGGATTTATATAATCATTCTGCAATTGAGTCAATGGGCCAACTCTAGTTGAGACTAGCAACTAATAATAATAATAATAATAAATTTTATTTGTAACCCGCCCCTCTGCAGAGCAATCGGGGCAGCGTACAGCAAGATAAAATACAACTGAATATATGGACAAGTGGCTGTGTTTAGAACGGAGGATAGCATAACTTTGGTCAACCTGAAAGGCTACATAATGTGATTTCCTTTGCACTAGTCATAGAACTTTTGTCTCACAATCATGCCACATATTACAGATTATATGTCCTATAGGCACACAGAGCAGAAGCAACAAGGCACTTTAGTGCTGTGGTTCTCAACCTTGGGTCCCTGAGATAGCTTGGATTTCAACTCCCAATAAAACTCTAGTGAGCATGGCCTGTGGTTAGGATTTCTGAGAGCTGGAAAACTCAGTGTCCAGAACCACTGCTCTAGAGCAAGAAATAAGGAATAAGCTACTTTGAGACATGAGTTTCAGGAGAATCAGGGCAAAGCTATGCTGGTCTGGGGAAGGAAAGGTTCTTGGACCACCAGCTGATAAGGGACTCCAGATACCATCTGCTGCACAGTACTTGTCATAGAAGGAAGAAGATGAAGAAAAGAGAAACATAGTGGAAATAATACTAGGAGAAAGAGAAGGAGGCAATATGGAGTCCAACTATTGTTCTGAATGCCTGAGGGAGCAAAGGCACTATGGGCAGAAGGACTGGAAGAAATCACCTGTGCTGACATATTATGGAGACAGAGGTGGTGGTGAATGTGTGACTTCTTTCATGGAAGCCATTTAGGTCCTGAGTGACAACAATGGTATCTTTTTATTTAATAAAAGACTTGCATTAGGACTCAACTTTTCAAAACCCAACATCACATAAGTGGTAGGAGTAGCTGGTTAAATGTAAGCAAGGCTAGAAAATCATTTTGTAGTAGGCAGGACCCTAGATACTCTTCTCAGATAGCATCCTGACTTTCTAAAAATTCAATTAGAACCAGGAACTGGAAGGATTGCATGCCAAGAAATTTATGCCAACTGATAATAAGAGTATGGCATGTTTTTGGCATGAGTTCATGTGAAGATAAGGAAGTAGTTCGCATGACAAATTTCACTGTTAATTTCTCCACATAGTTATCCTAAAGCAAACAAATTCCAGCCATCATTTGAAAGAGCTGGCAACTATTAGGTATAACCTTTGCAGTTGTGTCCCAATGGACATAGTTGGCAGCAGCAAACTCTGGAATTGCCATAGTTCCAGAAATCACTATAATGTGTATGTCTTCATACATTCTTCCCCCCATTTGTAGGACAAGAGGATGGTGACTATTTATTGTGAGAGCTGACCTAATATAAATTCCTCACCAATTTGTGCTATATTTTGCTTGTTGATTTTGTATGAACCATGTTATCATAATGTAAACTTTTGCTGGCCATAATATGTAATTTGCAATGCAGTCATTGCTTTCAGAAGTGATAGCCCTTCCCAAGTCATGTGTGTGTGTGTGTGTGTGTGTGTGTGTGTGATTATTTCTTGACAACTTCACTGTGGAGAATGGTATTCCTCATGGATCAAAGATGCATTAGGCTCTGTCTTAAAGTGGATGAGATATCAAATTAGCGGGAGTAGTCCAACATTTTAAAAACTTTTAGAATCTCACTTGTATAGATGTAAAGAACAACTATGCAAAAAAAGTACTGAGTCATGTATGCAGCTTGTGCACCCATCCACAAATAACACTGAGATCACTCTGTGTGTGTGTGTGCATATGTTCCAATTAGTTTCTGTCTCGCTCCCTACTTATTTAATGGTTTAAAAGTAACTCCTCCTCTTCTTCGTTTTTTCTCCCTGAAGCCACTGTATTTCTCTTTAAATTTTCCAGGCGGATATATCATCTGGTGATACAGCCCAGGGTTGTGAATGTCAGATCTTGCTGTCTGACAGGCTGCATCCAGTCCTCTGAGAAATATTTCCTGAGGGAGTGCTGTGGTGCTGGGACTTGTATCTTGGCATCCTCAGTCATCACAGTCAAACACCCAGTATTCTTGAAAGCTCATATATGTGACATTTTGTCAACAGGGCCTGGGAAAACATACTTTTTATGCAGTGCAGGTCTCTGAATGCCCATGTTCTCTAGGGGATTCTAGGAAATGTCCTAAAAAGGAATTTTTCAAGGCACATTTTGAAATTACTCTACCTGCATAATAGTTACAACTTGAAGAACCAAGAAGATTTTTTAAAAAAGTTCTTTCACTCCAACTGTTTTTTTTCCCCCTTCTCTTCTACTGATAAAAGGCTTAGGATGGAAGAAGGAAATCTGCAGAAAAAATATTACAGTAAAAATGATATCTCTGGCATACTGCATAATAACCTCAGATGAAGAAAAAGGTCTCAGGGTGTCATACCATACTGTTCAGGACAATTTATCTTAGTGGTGCTTTCAGTCTTCTCAGTGAAAGCCATGCTTAATCCCACCATTACAGAATTAGGCACCTGATTTCCTCCAGAATGTTTATCTTCAGGCTTGTCTACACTGACATAAAACAAATCCATACTGATCTGACAATGGCCACAAGCTGTGCACACAACATTCTTGATGATTCTCAGGGAAGTCATCACAAATTCTCAGGAATTGTAGTTCAGGAGACTTTAATTTTTTAAAATTTCTAAAAAGTCACTTTTTACTGTGAACATCTTCTAAACACCCAGATTTTCCTGTGTGTGGCCAGTGCTCTGAAGTGGCTTTGTAAGGAGCTGGGAGGAAGAAGGAGTTTTTGGTGGGTGAGATTGATTGGGTTCAGCAAGCCTGGTGGGTCATTATGTCACCATGTTTTGCTACTTCATTGTATGTTCTGCCATGACATCAGTGGTGAGGGAGGGGCTAGATCAGGCTACCTCCTCCCTCTTCCTCCTCCTCCCTTTGAGTATTATGTTCATATGTACTGTTTTTCTCTTCCCTGCCTCCAGTTCTCCCTCCACCTGTGATAAACAGGTATTCCTCCATTTATCAGGGGCTTCTAATCAGTGTTGTGTCATGTTTGGTTTTAGTTCAGTTAATAGAACATGTGCATCCCATCATCTCCCTTAAATTGCCCTCTGTCAGCCTTGGATCACTCTTAACTGAACTGCAGAGAATGTAAAATAACAATAGCCTTTTATTACAATTAGAGCCAGTGTGGTGTAGTGGTTTGAGTGTAGGACTATGCTTCTGTAGACCAGGGTTCAAATCCCTACTCAGTCATGAAACCCACTGAGTGACCTTGGGCATTTCACATGCTCTCAGCCTCAGGGGGATGCAAATTGCAATGGCAAACCTCCTCTGAACAAATCCTGCAAAGAAAACTCTATGCTAGGTTCACCTTAGGGTTGCCATAAGTTGGAAATAACTTGGAGGTACGCAACAGGAACAACAACATTTATTACAGTCCACAGACAATTAGGCAACACATTAAATACATCAGTATATTAAAATAAAGCTATAAAATGTATAATTTAAAACATATAGTACAATTTATAAATATATTAATTATTAAAATTAACATGCAAATAAAAACAAAGATAAATATTTGTATGTGTTCTCTCTCTCTCTCTCATATATATATATATATATATATATATATATATATATAAATTTAATGCTTTGTCATTATCACATGAGCCCAAATCATGCTTAATGTGATGTATAAAATATTAATTAGCCTCTAGAAAAACAACCAGGGTGATAATGGCCATTGGACAGAGCTAATTGTTATAAGTGTGGATATAACAGTCTTGTACATTTTAACAGCAGAAAAGAAGAAACCACTGCTCTGTTATACTTTTCTCAGAATCTCCTAGTAAGTGTACCAGGTACCAGTTGACAGATCTACCTGGGACTTAACAAAGGAGAAATCAACTGCATAAAATGTAACTGTGAAGAGTCTTACACACACACACAATTATTCACCCACTTACTTTTGTGGAGAGCTCATGCACTCCCTCTTATCATTCACTTGCTCACTCTATGGGAAAGAGGGAATGTGTTTGCTCCATTCACTGAGGTAAAAACAATGATGACACAATGCTGATCAGTTTTGGGTGGAGGATCTGTGTGGGAAGAAAATAAAAAGAAACACAACATTTGGGCAGGGGAGGAAGAGGGAGGTGATGGCCTGGTCTAAATGTATATATTTAATATTCTCTCACTCACTCACTAGTGGGGAGGGGATTGGATGGGAAAGCATCCAATCAGAATTCAAGGTGATCTAGATTGACAGGAAAATGGTAACTGCTATTGGTTGATAGGTTGATGCATGCTGGGAAGGCAAAAACCAGAGGAACAAAGTGGGTTCACCAGGGGAAAATGAGTGGCCAGTTAGGCCCAATGTCATCTTACTGTGTATGTTAGTGTGTGGCATTAACAGGTTGCTGTAGGGTCATTGCATAGCTAAAAAATGCAAGGCGAAGCCAGCTTTTTGGTCACTGAACTCAACTCAGTGTCTATGGAAAATTTTCACGGAAAATGAACAAACTGGAGAGCAAACAATTGAATCCAAACATGAAGGAAACCTATTTCAAGATGCTATGAAGCAGTTTTATTATTAAAATCAATAAATCAAATATTTTTCATCATCAAAACACCACTTTCTTTACATCCAGAGTCACATTGCTTTCATAATGCATGAATTGCCAAGGCATATGGGAGCATGGAATTTCCAGTGCCCAATAATGCAGAAATAGCTAATAGTATATGTTTCTTCTATGTGAGATAGAAGGCGTATATGTAGGGTTGCCATATCCTGATTTTTGCTAGAACAGTCCTGGATTGGACTGTCCCATCCTGCCTGTGCATTTCAGACCCTCCAATCCCTGGATTCCTGCCATGTTCCAAGCCACATTTTGTCAATCTCCAATCGGACTGGAGATTGACAAAATGTACCCAGAAAACAAGGCAGAAATAGTCAGCTGAACTGCTCAGCTCTGCCTTCTCCTCAGGCAGCACGCTGGCCAGTGACCAAGATGGCAGCTGCTGTAGTCAGTACAGAGACAGGCCAGACTGCAACAGAAGAGGCCCACTTCCAGGTATGGGCAGCCCAGCAAGCTAGAAAGCTCAGGGAGGGAGGGGCCACCCTAAATAAATCCAGGGTGGCTGCAGCAGGATCGCCCTGGCAGCAGCACAGTTGCATGGGACCTCACCTGACTGGTCAAGCCCCCAAAGAGATCCAGGGTGGCTGCAGTAAAGCCTCCTTGGTGGCAGTGCAGTCACGCAGGGCCTCATCTAGCTGGTCGAGCCCCCAAAGAGATCCAGGGCAGCTGCAGCCCCTTTCTTTCTCCCCTGCCAAGATATGCAGTGGAGGCGGAGGCTTCAGCTGCTCTTGCTGTTCTGGTGGTTGTTGTGGTGGTGGTTGGCACCATGCTTCCCAGAAGCCTGGCTGAACAGCTGGGGACAGTGAAGGCACTGGGTTCAGGTAAGGCAAGTGAGCACCGAGGAGATCCAGCGTAGTTAGCAAGACCTCCCTCAGGCTCCACCTGGGGCCCGGTGCATGGATTTATATTAATTTTTATTTTATTATTTTTGTTTTAATAGTGGGCCTGTACAGACCAGACACAAGGGTCAGCCTGGGAGTGGAGTTGCTGCAAGGTGCCCGCACGCTGGCCACTTCAACTCCACCCCAATGCTGCCATCACACTGGGTGCCCTGCCACACAGCATGCGGTGTCAGTGTGCTCTCTTGGCGCAGCGTGTAGACACGCTGCACCAAAAGGGCATAGAAGAGCTGTGGCAGCAGCAGTAAGAGCAGCTTTTTGCCACTCCAAAGAAGAGCAGCATTTGCCAGCTCTTTTTGGAGTGGCAAAAAGCCCAATCTGCCACTCCCAGGGACAGCATGGAGCTGCCCCTTAGGGGCTGTCTGTACAGCCCCAATGTTTTTGGATTTTAGTTGGTCATGTCTTCCATTTTTCTAGATTGTCCTAAATTTGTTCTTCATTTTGTCCCAGTATTGTGGAAGAGAATTATGGCAACTCTACATATATGCCTTTTATAATCAGCAAATTGTAGAACAGCCCTTTTGTAAACATTATTTTTAATGTGTGGGGAAATCATTGCACTCTCTCTTTTGCTATATTTTCAGAGTCGTGACTGTGTTAGTTTCTTGCAGTCAAAATAACAGTCCTGTAGTACCATAAAAACTAACAGATTAGTTTATCATAAACTTTAATGGACTCCAACCCCTCTTCATCATGTGAGCATGTACTGAAAAAGAGATTGCATCTAGTTTACAAAAGGAAAAGAGGAATCTATTCATGCTTCATATGTATTGCTAAATTTATAGGAGAAATACACTAACAACCACATGATAAAGCTGCATCTGACTTGAAGACTTGAATTCCTTAAATTGGATAGTCTGGGGCCTGATTTTAAATTTGTAGTCATTGTTTTATGGCATGGAATGCTGTTGGACCAAAAATAGCTGATAATGAAGAGTCATGAGACTTCCATCATCTGAATAGCCATAAATCCCTCTCTTCTGTTTTCTGGACAGTCAGTTAGGAATAGAAATCTTTGCTTATTTCATTCTTTAAAGCCAGAAATAATAAATAATTGCAAATACTTTCTCTCTACTGAGTAAGATTTTAATTTCTTGTGAATTTTCCAGTGATTTTTCACATTTTAGGACAATTTTGTGAAAATTATATTTCTGCAATTTATGCAAAAAAATATAATTATATTTAATTTAATTAAATATAATTTAATTATAAACTACACTTGTACAAAAACTAAGTGCCTCTACCCACCACCACCCAAAAAATCTGAAATATAGAAAATCTGAGGGTGGTTGACTATTCTCTCAATAGGGCACTCTATGTAATAATAATAATTGTAATAATAAATTATTTATTTATAGCCTTCCCAATCACAAGGAATGTGTCAAGAAAATCATTCTCATCATGGATATATGGTTCATAAATTGCATAATTTCTGTTCTCAAGATCTTGCAGATCTTCCTAATGTATTCTGCCCCTGAAGGTAGAAGAATGGCTCACTGTGGATCATTTTTTGTTTTTATTAGTTCTTCTGTGTGGTGGATTTGTCTCTTAATAGCAACCAAAATACCTTGTTCCATTGTGTCAAGTACAGGACAAACACATCTAGGCACTCCTTGGTTCAAAAGGTTTCCTAGTTGTCTCTTTTACCAACATGCAGGCACTGGATGTAACAAGTATACTAGATTTCAAAGCAATTAGTTGAGTTAATGGAAAGCTCTTGGTTCTACCAATGATCAGGATGGTGCAGAAACTCAGTTCAAAGCTGTGCTGTATTGCAATTAGCATTTCTCATTTTGAGTCAGATCATAAGATTCTGTTTCAAAGTATTTATTGCACACCCTGTCAAAGGGATGTTCCACCCTAGAAGAATGCTGGTCAGATCTCAACATGTCTGCAGGGCCACTTGGGTTTGGAAACAGGAAACTGCCAAAGCAGAGAAATATTATTATTCCATTCAAAAATAGATTGAACCATACCCAAAGTTGGAAAAGCAACTTATTTGGACTGATGGACATGTTGACTGTAGTATTCTGGGTTCTATGGTCCAAAAAAATAATTTTTCAAGGGTTGAGCTATATTAATATTAGAGCCTGCCATTCCCCATAGCCTCTCTGATCAGCTTTTTTCATTCAAATGCCAAATATCTGTCCCCAATCCAGAGATCATTTTCTTGTTTATATCAGTCTTTGCCTAAATGTGGTCAGGGTCACCTGCTGTAACTCTAGAGAACAGCCTTTTTACTCTTTATTAATTATTTCAATTAATTAATAATTGGTTGATTAATAATGTTAAAAGGAATTAGATAAACATAACACGCATAAAACTATAAGTATTAAAATCAAATAAATAAATAAATTTAATAGTTATATTTTTATGCATGTTATATTTGTCTAACTCCTTCTTAGAGAAAGAAATCAAGGTACATAAATCTAAAATCATAATAAATAGTAATAATGGTAGCAGAAACAGTAATAATAATATTTACAGCTTTCTTTTTGAAACTAGTTGCAGGATGTTGCTCAGCTGGCTGTTATTCCCTTTCATGCCATCCTACCTCCAGTTTTGCATTTCACATTGAACTTGTGTTGGTTTTATTGTCCCTTTTCAGAAAGGAAGGAAGGAAAACACCATCTATCTCTGGTCATTATTGGAAATATAGCTCACCCTAAATGTTTTCTTATTTCTCTTTTGCTCCTCAGCATCACCAACACTTTTA